AGGCAACCATTTCTGTTTTTCCCTCCCCAATCCCAGCAGCACCTGGCAGGGGTCCTGATGACTGGGAGCCCCGATTTTATCACCTGACCACTGAGGAGCATAACCTCCGAGAACTTAGTTCCTCACATGTGAAATGGGAAGTTCATGTCTCTATGGAGAATTCAGCAGCCTGGGGAGAGGGAGGCTAGAAAGAATGCTGTTCCCATTCTAACAGTGAGGAAAAGCCAGATGAAATTTTATGGAGCCTCTGAAAAAGCTGAGGCCACAAAGCTTCCAAATAAACCAAATTCCAGAGAGGGACTAGGCCTCAGAAGCAGGGCTGGCCACACATTCTGTTTCTCTTCCCCCAGAGTAGGAGAGAAAGGCAAGGCCACCAAACAGCAAAGGAGGAACATGCTAAAACATGAGTAACTCCCTGGAGTGCAGCAGCCGGGGACAGGGATTTGAGGGAGCTGCTCACAGCTTTGGCTCAGGCTGGATGTTGTGCCCACCTATCAAGCCTCTCGCCTCCAGCCTTAAGTTAGCCAGCTGGTGGTCATAAAGGTTCTACAAGCTCCAAAACACAGTGCCACAGGTGTGGCCCAAGACTTTAGACACACGAGTCTGTAAGGAACATTTCACATTCATTCAGTAACACGGGCACAGGAGGATTGAAGGCGATGCATGTTGATGGATGATGGGTACAAAGCCTGCTAACGCCGTTGAGTCCCTTCCTGCCACAGAGCAAAGCGGTAAGCCACTACAGGAGAGACAGTGAACCACCTAGGTTTTTGCTCCTTGCAAAAGAGGAAGAAAGCTCCCCCTCTTCTTTCTCGAAGGTAGAAAGTGCTCTCTCAAGGCCACCACCGTGACTCCAGAAACCCACTGATAGAGAGAAGAGACTGTGGCTGGGAAAGACCAACAATTTGAGGGTAGTGACGGACACAAAACGCAGTTTAGCTACCACTATGAGAAAGCCAAGGAGGCTCAGAAAGTCTCTCCCCCCACCCATGCTTCCTGTAAGATGGGGGCCACTCCAGGACAGTAGAGACCACTCCCCGCCCTACTGCAGCCCTACCACTGAGCATCAAAATCTGCTGATATGGAAGGCGCAAGGAGAGAAATGCCCTGTGGTGTAAGGACTGAGGATTGAGTGGGAAGCAGGAACCTCAAGAAAAACTCAATGGCACCCCAGTGGTAGCCCACTACTAGAACACGAAGCCCAAACCAGGCCAGATACTGACTAGACAGCCTCAGTCCCCACCTCATAGCTATTGACCTGACAGGAAATTAGATGGTTCCACTCCCAAGTGTGTATTTCCAAGCCCCCAGATGCCGGACTAACTCAGTTCCTTCAGTTCCCAGGTTAAGATGTGTCAAGGGTTAGACATTCTGAGAAGAAGAAAAGCTGTCTGGAGGAAGCTGGGCTTTGCCCTCATTCCTCTCAGGACAGGATGCTCCACAGCACTGAAGCTCTGACCCACATTCCAGATTATAAAACACAGTGGAATGTTGGGGGATGGCCACCCTGAAGTCCTTGGGGGGCTCCTCAGCTGTGATGCAAAGCAGGGTGCAAGTAGCTGAACTCCCTCTCCCTGAGTAGATTTTCTGAGCCTTGAAGGGCTGGCTTGCCATGGATCTGAGGTTTCTATTGGTTCTTGGTATTTATCTGAGTATCTTATTATAATGTATAAATGCTGTTTATCCCAGTCTCTGACATTCTTCCATACAGTATTTGGTTTAAAAAATGAGCAAAATAATTTTTTGTAAGGGTAAACAACCTATTATAGAAATCATGATCATTGTTCAGACATCTGAACTATCAGAGAGAAACTTTACTGTAACTATATAACCCTGATAAAGCCTGGAAGTAAAATATGAAGCTATGAAGGACTGATGGAGATGGGAAATATTAAATACTAATATTTTATCAATATTATAACCATGATACCAAATATGGACATTTTCTCCAGTAGGGCTCTGAGTAGAGAAAACACAGCTGAGAAAAAATATCAGCCACAGTGAGTTTGAGTCAACAGACAGGATTCAAACTAAAATACAAAAAGAAAAATTGGTGTAAGATCAAAGTATTCAAAGCTATGGGACAATATCAAGTGGTCTAAGAGACATATAACTACGGGACTAGAGAGAGAGGTCAAAATGGAATAAATATTTGAAGACATCTTTCTAAGATCTTATTTAAATGATGAAAGACATGAAGCTATGGATCTAAGAGTTACTGAGAACCCAAACAGAACAAATACTTAAAAAAAAAACCTACATACATGATTGCCAAATTGCTGATACTGAAATAAAAGAAGGTATCTTTGAAACTAGCCAGAGAAGGCAGAAATGTGTATGGACAAAGATCAGCAACACAACAGTATTACCAGACACAATACAAGCTGGAGGAAACAGAATGGTAATTAGGGGTTGAAAAGACCATCTATCTAAATTTCTGTACTCAGGGAAAAAGTGCATCTAAGAAATGGAGGCAAAATAATCAGTGCTTCAGATAAATAAAATTGGGACAAATTAATTTGAGGCAGAACTGTTTTATAAGGAATATTAAAAGTTAAATTCCTTTGGGTAAAAAAGAGCGATACTGAATTAGAATTTAAATGCAACCAAGGAAGGATTTTATAACCAGTAAAAAAAATTAAGTTGAAATGTCAGAAAAAAAGAAGATAATGTGCATGTTATTGTAAGCTTCTATACCATATATGACTGGTACAATACACAAACAAGATGGACATGTATGTTGTCAACCTAAGGGCAACCACTGAAGAAAATTAAGAAGAATAGTTAGAGAACAATTATAAGTAAAGTTAATCACAACTAAATAATACAAATGGAGGAAGGAAAAAGAACAAAACCAGTAGAAAGTAATAGCAATGTGGAAGACATGAAGCCAACCACAAAATAAATTAAATATAATTTATAATCTAATTAATTTTTAAATAATTAAATTAAATATAAATGGTCTAGGGCTTCTGCTTTAACAAAGATGAATTAACAATGAGCAGATTTATCCTGCTCCCTGAGCTGACAAGTTGTACAAAATATGCAAGATGGTGTCTTTTATGATATTGAATAGTAGGCAACTGAGGACAGTGTTCCCTGAAAGACAGGAAGAAACTATGGTAAAATGTAGGATTGCCCAGGCTCACTGCCTCAGGAGAGAGCAAGCTCAGGAAAGCGATGAGAGACTGTCTGCTGCAGAGATGGTGCTAAGAACCAGGAGAACTAGGACAGAAACTCTCCTAAGCCATGTGTAGGCGGAATCCATGGCTCTATTTCCTCCCACTCATTATATGGCTTGAATCTAAAATACCCCCAGAGGCATTTTGAATACTTGTTCCCTAGCCAGTGACACTATTGTGAGGTTGTGGAACTTTCAGGAGGTGGGATCTGCCAGGCAGAAGTAGGTCACTCTTTGGAATGGGCCTGGGAAAGGTGCAGCAGAGTCTTCCATTCTGCCATGCTTTCTGCTTCCTGTCTGCTCTGATGTGAACAGCTGTCCTCTGCCACATCCGCTGCCAGCATGTTTTGCTCAGGTGCATAGGACCAAGAAAGCATGAACTGTAGCTTCTGAAATCGCAAGCCCAACATTCCTTTCTCCCTTAAGTCGCTTCTGCCTGATATTGTGTCATTGTAACACAAAAGTAACTAATACATACACTTGAAAAGAAGTCCTAATTCTAAGTATCTTAGTGGTATCAGAGACAATAGCTTACATACACACACACACACACACACACACACACACACACACACACACACACACATTTAAATTTTTGTGTAGCATTTTAAACTGAGTTATTTTTATTTTATTTTATTTTATTTTATTTTATGCGTATGTGTGTTCTGCCTGCATGTGTGTATGTAATCCTGTGTATGACTGATGCCCACGGAGGTGAGAAGGGCATCAGATCCTCTGGAGCTGAAGCTATGGATGGCTGTGAGTCACTGTGTGGGTGCCAGGAATCACCTCTGGAAGGGCAACAACTGCTCTTAACCACTGAGCCATCTCTCAATGCTGCTGAATAATATTTATAGAAATACAAAATATATCCAACATACAAGATAAACTTCTCAAAGTTTAACATTCAATAATAATTTTTTAAAAACCACAAAACAAGTCAAAGAGTGGGAAAAGAGAACCCAAGTGAAAAGAATAGGTTAATTATTTGAAAATGATATAGAATTGGGATGGATGTTAAATCTAGCTGACAAGAACATTAAAGTGAGTATTTTAACTACAATCCACATTTACAAAACTTTAAGGAGAAACATGGGTGATGCAGAAGAGATCCAAATAAAATTCAAGGATGCAAGTGTTTAAAATGAGCACATGGATGCAATAGGATTGGGAACAGATCAGATGTTACACTAGAAAAGGTTAATGAGCTTAATTTCTCAGACATTGAAATAAGCTTTTGTCAAATGAGTTCTTTCAGACTTTATAGGTCTGAAGATTTTTTTTTTTTTTGATATACCTTAGCTTTTTGTATGTTTGTTTTTTGTTTCTTTGGAGACTGAGTCTCGTGTAGCCCAGGAGGGCCTCAAACTCACTGCACAGCTACATAGCCAAGAATGACTTTGACTTCTGATTCACCCCCAAGCCCACTCCCATCTTCTGGGAGATGAGAGCACAGGCATGTGTCACCACACCCTGCTTTATGCAGTGCTTTGCACTAACCCTAGAGCTTCTCGAATGCTAGGAAGCATCTACCAACTGAGTCCCAGCCCCTCTCCTTAAATTTAGCAAGATTTTTTTGTTCATTTTTTAATTAATTTTTTTACATTCCAATCCCAGTTCCCCCTCCCTCCTCTCCTCCTAAAACTTCCACTCCCCCACTCCTCCCATCTACTCCATGGAGAGGGTGAGGCCTCCCTTAGGAAGTCTACTAAGTCTGTCCCATCATCTAGTTGAGGCAGGACCAAGGCACCTCTCCACTTCCACACCTCTCTGTCTAGGCTGGGCAAGGTATCTCTCCATGTAAAATGGACTCCTCCGCTAAGTCAGTTTGTACATTAGAGTTAGATCTTGGACCCACTGCCAGTGGCCTCATATATTGTCCAAGTCACACCATTGTCACCTATATTAAGGGAGTCTAGTTCAGTCTTATGCAGGTTCCCCATTGTCAGACCTGAACCAGTGATCTCTCACAAGCTCTGGCCAGTTGATTCTGTGGGTTTCCCCATCATGGTCTTTGGCAAGATATTTTTACGGGATAGAGATGGACACATTGTATAGAATTGCAAGTTACAGAAGTAACTGTAAAACTGTGACACCAACACAGGGTAAAGGAAGAATGGTTAAGTTTTGCTCAGAACTTCAGAGATCTTAGTTATAGCTCTTGTCTCTGTTGATTCTGGACCTGTAATGCTACAGAATATGATGATGATGATGGCAGTTAGTAGAAGAAGAGGGGGAAGGAAGGAAGACAAAAACAAGGAAGGGACTAGGAAATGACATAATCTTCAAACCATCTTCCTCCAGCCAGGGTCCTCTCAAAATAGTGCTACCAGCTAGGGTGTGCTCAACACTTGGGAGACATTTCGTGGCCAAACCATAACAATATTTTGTTTTGTTTTGTTTTAGGACTGGAGTAAGAACTCAGCAGGGTTTGGTGCTCGTCCAGAGGACACAGGTTTAAATTCTGGCATGCCCAGTTGCTCATAACCTTCTGTAACTCCAGCTCCAGAGGATCAGATGACCTTTTGTGGCTTCTGAAGGTACCTGTGAAAATAAGGCATATGCTTACATAGACTCAGACATGTACATTTATTAAATATCTTTTTAAATGAATATTTCTGAAGGAAAATGTTTGCTACAAGGGATAAACACATAGATCAGAAGATACAACACTGCAGGAGGTTTGTGACTAAGGACCAAGCAACAGAAATTATCAAATGAAACACAAAGGAGAAAAGTTAAAAAACGAAAAAGTAAACAGAGCATCCTCTTCGTCATCTCTAAAAGTTCAACTTCTGCATCTGCAGTAAAACGATTCTCACGGTTTTACTCGGCATGGCCCGTCTCTCCTATAGTACTGGGAACATGCACAGATGCAGCTGAATGGCCACTTCCTGTGTCTCTACAAATTCCATCACCTATGTCCGTCCATGGATTCAGTTTCCCTTCTCCTTAGCTTCTCTTCTGCTTCATTACAGGTTGGGTTATTTCTCTCAGGATTCCATCCATTGTATATTTGCTTTGTTGGATGCTGGGAATTCGTACAATGTTCCATACATACTTTGTTCTATGATAATAAAAAAAAAAAAAAGTACTGGGAACAGTGTGACACATTCGAGTCTTTGAAAGTCTTGTCAGGCACAAGCAGAGAAGCATTTAATCCAGAGCTTTTGTTGTTGCTTTTTGTTTGTTTGTTTCTTGTTTTTGTCCCACCATCAAGATGAGAGTTTCTGTTCTGATTACCCTACCAAACCCTATCGATGCTGAGGGTTTTCAGCCTGTCTACTCAAAGCTACTTCCCCCTGTGAGTTTTTGGCATTGCTCCCTCTCAGCTATTCGGAGGTTTTCCTCTTACACTGAAAGTGTTGGGTTGGGTGGAATACCCAAGGGAGCCCTGGAGACCCTAGACTCTCCTCTACAGCCTATCACCTGAATGAAGTTCTGCTATTCAAATTCCAGTCTCCTTGTTCTCCTTGAGTCCTGGCCTCGTCTCCTAGGTGTAGGGAGAGCCGCACCCCCTTTCTGTATCACAGCCTGAGCACTCTCTAGGCAGAAAGCTGGGGAAATGCTGGGGACACGGTAAACATTGTTTGCTTCCTGTCCTTTCCAGACCATTGTCTGCTGTTGTCTCATGCTCAATTTGATTTCTTAGTTCCTGTTGTTTAGTAATGTTTGTGTCCTGGGAATTGAGGCTAAGAGGCTTTGTTGTGGTTCCTGTAGGAGGAGGATCAGATGGGACAGGACAGGATCAGCTAGTTTGAATAATTCTGCGGACTCCAGGATAAAGGCTATCTCTCCTGTCTGGCACCAGGCCCTGAGGTGCTCAGAGTAGACCACAGAGGTCCAGAGTGAATGAGCTCCACAGGAGGCTGATAAAGGAGGCAGAGGCCAGAGATGTCAAGACATCTGAAATACAGAAATTACAGAGGTGTGACTAGGGCCTGGAGAGATGGCTCAGCAGTTAAGAGCACTCATTGCTCTTGCAGATTACCTGAGTTTGGTTCCCAGCGTCCATATGAGCAATTGCAGGGCTCCATAACTCCAGTTCCCCGGGTTCTGAGGCCCTCCTCTGGCACCCATGGTCAACAGGCATGCATGTAGAACACTAATATACATTCAGGCAAAACACCCATACATATAAAATAAAGATAGCTTGAGAAAGAGAGAGAAAGAGACAGACAGAAAGAGAGGGAGAATGACTAATACCATCCCTGATTGCCCAGATGTTTGTGTTGTCCTACTGTGTCTAGATTTGACCTACCTCATCTGGATTTCTCCCACACACCATCTGTGACTCAGGCTCAGGGGAGAGAATGGGTCTGCTGTGGGCCAGGAAGTCAAGGCCTTTCTTCCTTGCCTGAAGCTTTTACACAGCAGGAGTCTGAGCTGGGCTAATAGTTCCAGAAGCTGGCCTCACCCTTGGAAAATAATGCCACCTGGTGTTAATCCAAATAATTAGCTTAACACCATATGTGGTGTGTTATTCAAGTTTTTTCTCATAAATAGTTAATGGGGCCACTGATGCTACCACAGATTAAAAATTAGCATAAAAGGAGAAAGTTCAGCATCCCACAAAGGACCGGGAGCCTCACTCAACTCTGCCCATGGTTGGCCCATGAGCATAACCTTCTCTACTGAGGAGGCAAATGGGATCATTTTGGGAACACCCAGCATTCCCAAAGTCATGTGCACAGGCTGGTGTCTTTATTGGGCCCTCTGCTGTGGGCTTGATTCATATTCTTCTCCCTGATAATGAACAAGTTCAGGTTTGCCTGTAGGCCTGGAAGGATCCGGCTTCTGAGATCACACATCTTCACACTTGGCATCATATTTCCTCCCTGGATCTGACAGCATATTGGCCTACCTGCCTGGACTTGCAGAGAATCATGGAGGCATCCAATGGGCTGACCTTTCTAGGGAGGCAGTATATTTATTTGGTCCATAGACCTTGACTGTTTAGGCACCCATGGACCCTGTGACTTCTCATGAAATATACACTTGTCCATACATTGTCAACTTGGAAAGATTTAGGATAACTGTGGAAACACAACTCTGGATGTGCCAATATGAGTGATGCAGAAAGTTTACCTGACAAGGGCAGATGGGGTGGAGTCCTAGACTGATACAAAGAACAAAGGACACCGGTGTTCATCTCTCTCCACTTCCTGGCTTTGGCTGAAATGTGGCAAGCTGCCTCAAACTCCTGCCACCATGACTTCTGTGATGGAATGCATCTTCAATCTATGAAACAAGAGAAACTCTTTCTGCCTTAGTTGTTTTTATCATGTATTTTCCCACAGCAATGAGAGAATGACTAAAGCCACACGGCAGGGATGTAGCTCAATGGTAGAGCATTTGTCCCTCCTTCGACCCACAGTGTGGAAGAAAGAACTCTGGATGTGAAAGAAACCGTATAGCACGCTGTGTTTGGGGGTCCCCAGAAGGGCCTTGAAGTCTAACTCACATTGCTTGCTGAAGTTGGGGAGAGGGGTTCATTTCTCTGTGATTTCCATCTCAATGACCATCAGATTCTCAAAAGGAAGTAATCAGACACGCCTCCACCTCTGACCTGACTCCATCTCTCAGCCCCCTGAGAGCTTTGCCTCCTACTACATCTCCCCAGTGTCACCTGACCCTGGCCATCTCACCTTTGTCTGCACTGTGCAGGTCTAGCCCCATGCTCTTCATCACAAGACCTTTGTCACCTGCAACCATCCTTCTTTTCTAAACTTTAGCCTCTCTGAATTTTCTTCTCTGTGGCTGATATAAAGGTTTCAGAGATTCCCGTGATGCAACGTAACAGCAGTGATAGCTGCTTCACCTCTACGCACGCCTGTCTTATCTCTCTGCTTCACACGGCCAGAATTTCTTCACTCACCTCTTTACTGCATGGAAAGTTACAAAGACTGTCCCAAATATACATTATCACTAGATTATGCCTTTGCATTTTTTTAGACTTATTAATTTTGTGTGTATGAGTGTTTTGCCTGCACACCATGAACATTCCTGGTGCATGTGGAGGTCGCCTGGAGTTACTGATGCTTGTGAACCACTATGTGGGTGCTGGGAATTGAACTCTGGTCCTCTTCAAGAATACCAAGCACTCTTAATTGCTAAGCCACCATTCCAACTCCTCTTCATGACCTTTAAACCCACTGCTGTTTGGATTAAAAATGAGGACTCTTGAGGGTTGGAGCAATGGTTCAATGGATAAGATCTCTCTCTTGTTATTGCAGAAGACCAGAGTTTGGTTCCCAGCACCCACACTAGGCAGATCATAACAGCTTATAACTCTAACCTCCAGAGATCTGACACCCTCTTGTCCTCTGAGGACACACACACACATACACACACACACACACACACACACACACACACACACACACACACACACACACACA